ACAGTGGCTCTCCTGTCACCATCACAACAGCATCGATGGCCTTCTGAAGGAAGTTGATTTTGGAATCCTTATCCTGGTAAAACAGCAATTAAGAGAAAATTTTTATCTCCACAATAATCATGTTTGTTTTAGTTTTACAAATATCCTTTAATAACAACCTGCCCCAGCTGCCCTTCACTAGAGATGATGTCTTCCAGTGATAACATAAAATCAGAAGTAAAAATAAAAGATCAAATAAACAAAGTAAAGCCAAGTGAAATTTCACAGAAGTCCTCACAATTAAGAAATCATCATGATTTCAGTCCTCCTTACAGCTCTCTCCTGTTGATTACTCAGAAAAAATTATTCTCCAGATCTTCTACAACTCCAAGAGAGATCACAGTAAGGAAGCAGCTGAGTCTTCATCCTGACCAGTTTTGGGAAGAGGAACTTAAGGCTGAGACATTTTCCCCCACGCTCCAGGATTTTGATTTCCTCTGCCTGAGCTCTGGAAAACCCCAAGGACTTATCGGCTGTGAAAGAAATTTGTGAAACAAATTCTCAGAGACATAGCAGCACGTAGATGCAACAAAGACCTGCTCAGGAGCAGCTGGGAAATCTGCTTTTTGGGTCAACAAGGACACTATCAAGAAACCCAACAATTCAGTTATAAATTACTTAATTTTAGTTATCCTGACGGCAGTAGGAACAGTCACAGAAATAAACACACACATTAATCGGTGACTAAAACATGCAAGAGCTGGCTGGAGGGATGAGAAGTCAGAGCTCACACTTCAGTTGCTACATTAAACAAACACCATGGGATCAGCTGCCTAAGTGGCAACACACAAACACTGCTCTGTTTGCCAGGAATCAGCAACCAGAGCTCCCAAATCAGGATGGGAGCTGGGAACTCAGCATCAGCTCAGCCAAAAATCAGAGGAAAGCAGCAGACAGAGAGTAAAGTCAACCTTGGACTTAAGGAGTTTTCAGTAATAATATCAAACTCCTCTTTCAGTAATCAGCCAGTTTTACACAGCAATAAAGCTACTGCATATCCTAGATAGGTGAGTCCTGGGGATATTTATAAACAAAGATATATAGAGCAGTAAGTTAAGGGCCATGGATTCTCTTGAGAGACCACAAGACTCTTTAAAACCAGAAATTTGGACACAGAACTATAGGTGTTCACCCCATGGAAAGTATATTATACCCCACAGGCAGGATTTACAACTTCTTCACAAAAATAACAACAGCTCCTTGGTGCTGAACACAGAAAAGACCAAAAGAACCTTCTGGCGAGTTGCAAAAAACACTGAAAACTAAATAAATAAGGAAGTCCCATGCCCACCTTGACATTATCAGACTTCAACTCGAAATCTGTGTAAAGTCCTTTCAGAAAACCTGTCACTCTGATCACCTAAAAAACAGAATGGGGTAAGTCAAGAACATTTAAAGCCTCTGCTCAATAAATCTTGTGTGGCAGCAGGAAATGTATTCTTCGTGGGAAGGGTGGTGAGGCACTGGAGTGCAGTCCCCATCCCTGGAGGTACCCAAGGAAGGCCTGGACATGGCACTCAGTGCTCCGGGCTGGTGACAAGGGGGGCATCGGGCACAGGCTGGGCTCAGAGATCTCGGGTGGCTTTTCCAACCTCAAGGATTCTGGGATTCTGTGATATTTCACTATCCCAGGCTGCTCCAAGCCCCACTGTCCAACCTGGGCCACTTCCAGGGGCAGCCACAGCTTCTCCGGGCACCCTGTGCCAGGGCCTGCCCACCCTCACAGGGCAGAATTCCTTCCCAAAACCCCACCTAACCCTGCCTCTGCAGACGTGACCCCCTTTCCGACCGCCACACGCGCCTTTCCACCCCAAACTCACGCAGTGCCCAGAGCCCCGCGATTCACACACCGCTGAGGGCACGCCCCACAGGCTTCCACACACCCACCTCGCAGATCAGGTCGTGCAGGTAGCGGAAGGGCGGCTTGCTCAGCAGCGCGTCGGTGAGCGGCGGCTTGCGGATCACCTGCCCCAGGGTCTCCCGCGTTTGCCGCGACACCGCCTCGTTCATCGCGGCGGGGCCGGGCCGGGCCGCGCCGGGGCTCGAACCGGCACCGCGGCGGGGCTCGAACCGGCACCGCGGCGGGGCGCGCCCGCCCCCGGCCCGCCGCTCCCGGCGTGCCCCGCGCGAGCCGCCGGTCGCTAAGGGGCGCCGCGGCCATAGCAACCGGCCCGGCCCGCTCCGCCCTCAGCGAGGAAAACCCGGGAAACAGCCCCGAGACACCCGGAAACAGCCTTAAAAAACGTGGCAACAGTCCCCAAAACCCTGGAAACCACCCTAAAATCCCTGGAAACAGCACCCAAATCCCCGGAAACAGCCCCAGAAACAGCCCCCAAGCCTCCCAATAATAGCTCCCAAAGCCTCCATAAACAGCCCCAAAATCCCCGGAAACAGCCCCAAAATCCCCAAATATAGCTCCCAAAGCCCCCATAAACAGCCCCAAAATCCCCGGAAACAGNAATCCCCGGAAACAGCCCCAAAATCCCCAAATATAGCTCCCAAAGCCCCCATAAACAGCCCCAAAATCCCCGGAAACAGCCCCAAAATCCCCAAAAGTAGCCCCCAAAGGCCCCCATAAACAGTGCCCAAAACCCCCGGAAACAGCCCCCATAAACAAACTCCAAATCCCCAGAAACAGCCCTAAAACCCCAATAAACAGCCCAAAATCCCCAGAAACAGCCCACAAACCCCCCCAAAACAGCCCCCAAAATCCCCATAAACAGCCCCCAAATCCCCGGAAAACAGCCCCAGAAACAGCCACAAACCCCTCCAAAATAGCTCCCAAAACCCCCATGAACAGCCCCAAAATCCCCAGAAACAGCACCCAAAACCCCCATTAACAGCCTCAAAATCCCTGGAAACAGCCCCCAAAACTGCAGAAACAGCACCCAAAATCCCCATTAACAGCCTCAAAATCCCTGGAAACAGCCCCCAAAACCGCAGAAACAGCCCCTAACCATTGGAAGCAGCCCAAAAACCTCTGGAAACAGCCCCAAAACCCCCGAAAAGAGCACCAAACCCCCTGGAAACAGCCCCCCAAAACCCCTGGAAACAGCCCCAAATCCCCCATAAACAGCCTCAAAACCATGCCCCCCTACCCCTCAGAGCAAGAGGCAGTGAATAACGTGTTAGGGAGACACGCTGTGTGTCAGCAGCAGGAATCGGAGCAGGAAAAGTTGTTGGGTTTTTTTTTGTTGTTGTTGTAGTTGTTTTTTTGTCTTTGTTTGTTTGTTTTGTTTTGTTTTTTGGGTTTTTTGTTTGTTTGTTTGGTTTTTTTGCTTCATCACATAAGAGGTGACTCTGTGGGACCAAACACAAGAGAAACAGGGACTGCAAATCCAGGAGAGCAGGGAGATGCTGCAAGGCTGGAGCCAGGCTGGGAGACCTGGGGGTGCTCACCTGGAGAGGAGAAGGATCCAGGGAGAGCTCAGAGCCTCTGCCAGGGCCTGAAGGGGCTCCAGGAGAGCTGGAGAGGGACTGGGGACAAGGCATGGAGGGACAGGACACAGGGAATGGCTCCCACTGCCAGAGGGCAGGGATGGATGGGATATTGGGCAGGAATTGTTTCCTGGGAGGTGCTGGCACTGTTTTTAGAGCAGCTGTGGCTGCTCCTGGATCCCTGGGAGTGTCCAAGGCCAGGCTGGACAGGACTGGGAGCAGCCTGGGATAGTCGATGGTGTCCCTGCCATGGCAAGAGGATGGCACTTGATCACCCACTCCATTCCAACCCACAGCCTTTTGTAAAGGAAGAATCAGATTTGGGAATTAAAGGAGGTATTACAAAGCAAATCCATCTGGTCTTAGTGCAGGCAAGGAAATTTTTCCAGCAAAAAGGCAGTAGACACTTCTATACCAAGAGGGTAATTTCACCTGGGCTCCTGGCAGGTGCTCAAGGGGGGAAGTGCATTTTACCTTCCCCCCTAACCCTGAGGTTCCCAGAAAGGCTCTGACTCCAGGATCTGGTGATCCTGGGAAGAACAGGAGGTGTTGACAGCTTCCACATCCCAGGGCATTGGAAGAAGTCTCAGAGGAAGCAAGAAGCTGCTCTGTGAAAGAGGGAATGTTTATTTTGGGATTGTGTAGTTTATCTGGGCTTTTTCACTGACTATCTAGGAAGCATATGAGATGCCTGAAGAGGAATCTCAGGGGGGAATTTACATTTGGCCTCATTAGCTCATTTTCCCACACAGGCACCCCAAGGAAGCACAGGTCCATTTAACTGGAAACCAAAACCCACGATCAGGGCTTCACCACCCTCACAGGGAAGGATTTCTTCCCAATGTCCCTAGTAAACCTCTTGGAAATGCCATGAACTCTGCACCTGTCAGGAAGGAAAGGATGCTGAGAAAAATGTAGCAATCTTTCAGCTCAACTCTGTACCTGGAAACCCCCAGTCTCAAGGTCCAGAATCCCAGAAAGGTCTGAGCAAGCTGGGATGAGGTAGATGACCAAAACAAAACAAACAAACAAAAAAAAAAAACCACCCCCCCCAAAAAAAAAAACAAACCACCAACACCCTAAATATAATTTTTTTCCCAGAAATTGGCTCAGTAGTCTCTAGAAGCCAATTGCTGATTTCAGTCAAAACCTGTTGCTCAAAATAACCACTCCAAACAACTCATTAAAACTGGGATAAAAAAAATTCCAAGGCTTTTCATAAGTCTAGGGCATCAGAGTGGCATTGTGTCCTGATGGAGGAACATTCCCTGCCAACCTCAGTGCTTTCCCCACAGGGATTGGAAACATAGGACGAAAACAAAGCTGCTCCTGCACTCAGAGCCCTGAGCCAGGACCAAGCCAGGAGCCTCAGGAAAAGACAACGGCCACAAGGAAAGGGGAAACCTCCCCCAGAGCTGGGAATGTTGGTTCAGGAACGTTGGAAGATGAATGCTGATTAATACTCATGTCAGAAACCAGTTTGTGCCATTCTCAACCAGTGAGACATCCACAGATAACCCAACTAGGCAGATAAAAATGACATTTAATTTTGTGAAGAACACTTGAAAAATAAAGATGAAAGCTCTTCAAGGCTTTGCAAATAACCATCAGAACCCACAGAGCCAAAGACTCCATTTTCAAAAGGTGCTTTCTCTCCCCAGCCCTGTTTTCCATTAACTCCCAATGTGGAGTGGCCCACAAGAGTTTCAAAGAAGAAAAAAAAAAATTCATTTTGAGCCAACATTAGAAATAATCCAAGATTCGTTCAGTGCAGGTGCTGCTACATTACACTTGAACAAAGGCACAAAATTCCCTCTTCTAATTTTCATTTTGATTTCTCTAAACTTGGTGTTCTCAGGGAGAGACCAGAGTTATTCAAGAGAGGAAGGCTGAGCTCAGTCCAGCTCTCCAGCAGGAACCGGAGGAACTGAAGTGACAGCAAATAAATCCAATGGACTGTAACCATGTGGGAACACAAACCTTTGGAATCGGCACCTCTGACCCCTGCTGTAAACCCAGGCTCCCAAGAACACCTGATATGGAAAAAAGGTGACACAAATTAAGATGGGAAAACATCCACTGCCCTCCCCTCAGGCAGAAAATGTATCCATGAAACTGGGATTTCAGGATCCAAGTGAGTGAGGACGTTAACAGCCCCTTCTGCAGAGTATCAGCCCCAAAAAGCACAGGAGTACCTGCTGAATTCTAAAGATATGCAGAGAAATAAAAAATAATATAATTGTGTGCTTTATGGTGCTTTTCACTTCTTTTTTTTTTTTTTAGCTGCTAGCAAAGTGTCAGATTTTATCTTTATGCTGTCTCAAATGTAGTAGTGTTAACCTATAAAAGGTACATGAAAAATCTTACATTAGCCAAAATTTGGGAAATCTGCTCAACTGGCAGCTCCTACTACATACAGAAAATAGGTCAAATACTTACTGCAACCCCCAAAAGCAAACTTGTGTTTTGTCCTGTCATAATCACAGATTTAATTCAGGATAATCAGGCTCACTTTGGAGTTAATACTTCAGAGCCTTTGACCTGGAGCCCAGCTCACTGAGCTGCTCAAAATCAGCTCAGGACACCAAGAGAAACAGGTTCTCCAATATAAGAGAGTATCAGAACAGCTGGAAAGATGAGAAATGAGGGAAATTCCTCTGAAGAGGAGCCCTGAAAATAAATGCCTTTTTCCTGAGTACAGTAAAACTCACTGAAGATCAAGCATTGGATCTGTCAATTTCTTCCAACTGTTTTCCATCTTAATGAAATTCAGGGACAACAAAAATGCCCTAGAAAATGCTAAATTAAGTTTATGGGCAACAACTGAAGCCAGAAACTTCAAAATCTAAGATTACATCCCTGTTGTTCCATATCACAAAATGTCTCCAGGTTTTACATCTTGACAGATGCTGGACTTGTTCTTTTTCAGCCCATTTCCTACACTTTGCTCAGAGATTTCCACATTGCCTTTATTCTTAAGGCTGAATGAGCAGACTTATACCTCCTACAGACTTAGGTTTAGAGATAAAGAGAGTAAAGCAAATACTGGTATCAGCAGCAACTTCAGTGACCAGAGCCAGGGAAAAATTCTAAAAAGAGATGACTATGACTGCATTAAATCTCAGTAGTGATGAAGCAGGAGGTCAGATCTGACCCAACAAAGCATTTTGGGTGGTTAAAAAAGAGTTACTGAGGGGTTATACAATATATTAATCGTTTTCCTCCTCCATAAAGTGCATTTACTCAGCCTGAGAGTAAGTACCACACTGAGAAAGGGACCTTAAAGCACTTCCCCAAGAGAGAGCAGAAGAAAATCAAGAGTTTGTGCCTCAGGGATCCTTGAAGACACTTTGGGAAAGCCCCTCTTGCTGCTGGAGCCGAGGCCCTGCAGGCCAGGTTAGTACAGGGTGGTGTGGGCAGAGCAGCTCCTGGTGCTATCTGAAAACCCCCACGTTGATGGAAAGAGCCACTTCTGGTTTGCGGGGCTTCATGGGGAGCTTCTCGTCAGGGAAAAGGGGATCCTGGACACGCTCCTGCCGACTGGAAAACAGAAATAACCCGGTTAATGTTCAGCAGGGTGAGCCTGGCCTGAACTCTGAGTTTCAGCAAGCTGTGCAAGGCCAAGCCAGCCAAGGGTTCACTTTCCATCTCCACAGTGTGTTCCAGGAGGGAAAACCATGAGGCTCAGTGCAGGAACACTGAGAGCCAGGAGTTTGAATTATCCAAGTGCTCCCTGCAGGATTACTGGAATTGTGTGCTCTGACAGCACCCAGCTACCACTGGCCTCAAAAATTATCCAATTAGGCTGAATCATGGAATGGTTTGGATTTCAAGGGACCTTAAGAACCACCCAGTGCCACCCCCTGCCATGGGCAGGGACACCTTCCCACTATCTCAGTTGCTCCAACCCCAACCCAACCCGGCTGTGGACACTTCCAAGGATGAGGCAGCCACAGCTGCTCTGAAAAGCAGCAAGCACTTTGCATATTTCTAAAGAAAAATGAAATTAAATGTTCACTACCTTTTCCTCTTTTCCAGAGCCAGCTGCCTTTGCTTCTCTTTCCCAATGTCGTCCCTGACGGTGCTGAAGTCCTTGGTGTCATCAAGGAGAAGGTTCTGTTATGAAAAAGGATTGGAGAGATCAAAGTCAGAAGGTCAAACTATTTCCCAGCTGTTCCTCAACTGACATGATAAATTTCCAGGTTGTTTCTTTTGTCTAGTTTTGCACTGATTAATTACAAGTTCATTAGAATTGCAATGGTTTGAGTTGGGAGGGATATTGAAGACCATCCAGTCCCACCCCCGCCATGGGCAGAGACACTTTCCACTATGCCAGGTTGCTCCAAGCCCTGTCCAACCTGGCCAGGAACACTTCCAGGGATGTATTTCTTCCAATAGGCTAAAACAACAGGACAGGACATCACATTTTTCTCCTACTGTTCTAAAGCCCAGGCAGAATGTTCTTTCCTTCTAACTAAACCTGATTGCTAGCTCAGAGCTCAATGCTGGGTAATTCCTTTTCACACCATAAAATAGAACTGTCATAGTTCAGTAACCCATAATATGTAACAGTTTGTATCTATAACGTGAATTTGAAAGGGCACTTCCTTGGATTTTACTCAGAATTTGTAAAAAAAAACAAGTCAAAAATGAGGGCAAGAAAAAGGAAAAGCAGTAGCAGCAAGAAATTTCCTATCAACACAATGCAGTGTCCAAACCCACATCCCAGTACTCCCAGAAATGCAGCAGGATGAAAGGAAACTAGACAGAAATAAGGGGACATTGCAAAGGGGACATTGCCTAAACCTGATGCTCGTGCAACAATTAAACCCAGGGAAATTTACCTTCACCCCAATGATGTCGCCATCCTTCAGGTGGTAAGGTGCTGACTGCAAACTTGCCTGCTTTTTCCGCCTTTTCCTCTTCGAGATTTGCTGTGTCTGAACAAAATCAAAGCAGAAGAGTCTGGAATTCTCCTTAAATTCAATCCCTAAGGAACTGCAGCCCAAACCAACACGTGTTCCTCTCCAACAACTGTTGGATTCTGTCACCCCAGATCTTACCCAGCTAGATAATGGCAGCCACTCAAATCTCTCAGGGAAGTATTTGGCTATTTCAATTTTATCTACAGGGAGACAATAGTGAGAAGCCACTCTCTGCCTCAGAGCCCAGGCTGTGCATTCCTTGGAGATATCCCACACCAAATCTCGGGAGCTGGAGTAGTCCCTCTCTCCTGGTATTCCCATCTGGACTCGCAGCAGCAGCTCGTGGGGGCTGGTAGCAGGATGAGAGAATGGAAATTCTTGTGAGCCATGTTTTCAGAATTCCCAGCTTTCCCCCCCTCCTGCCCTCCCTCACTTTGTTTGTGGAAAACAATTAACAACTTCCAAGGTTTTCCCACATCCTGAGAACCTTGAAGTCAAAAGCTGCTCCAGTGAAGGCTTCCCTCAAGTGCAGAGCTGTAAGAAACAAGAGAAATAAAGATCTTGAGCTCTTACCCCAAATTCTCTTCTTCTTGCAAGGGTTCTATGCAGATTTCCACACTGGCACCCAGCCTGTAGTCACTGAAAACAGAACAGAGATTGTCTACGTGGCTCTGGAGCTGGGCTAGGAGAACTGGGGGTGGTCACCTGCAGGAGAGAAAAGCTCCAAGGAGACCTCAGAGCCCCTTCCAGTGCCTGAGAAGTCTCCAGGGAAGCTGAAGAGGGACTGGAACAAAGGATGGAGGGACAGAACGAAGGGGAATGGCTTTCCCATTGCCAGAGGGCAGGGATAGATGGGATATTGGGAAAAATTCCTCCCTGTGAGGGCAGTGAGGCTCTGGCACAGAGTGCCCAGAGCAGCTGTGGCTGCCCCTGGATCCCTGGGAGTGTCCAAGGCCAGGTTGGACACTGGGGTTTGGAGCAGCCTGGGACAGTGGATGGTGTCCCTGCCCATGGCAAGGGTGGGACTGCTGATCTTTAAAATCCTTTCCAACCCAGACTGAGCTGATCAATCTCCCACAGCCCATGCCAGATCCAGCCTGTTGCACATTGCCCAGGAAACCCACCTGAGTGTCCTCTTGTTGTCCCGTAGGAGATTCCCAGGGCGTCTGCTGTCCACTGTCCAAGCTCTGAGGAATGAGGGCAGGGGCACAACCTGCTCCTGGCAGCAGGGTAAGGTCAGAACCTGAAAAACAGAAATACAGTGTCAATAATTTAGCAGCCAGTCTCCCTGGAAAAATAGAAAACCACTGGATTAACTCTAAAAAAAGAGGGCAAGGCATTGAGATTTATTCCATACCAGCTGTTGCTTGAGGTTATGAGCAAAATACTCACTTCTCAACTTCAAAGGGAGTTGGATTTCCTTCCCTCTCAAGAATTCTCAACTCCCATTTCCAAAGTACCCAATTTCTTTTTTTAACCAAAATTTGAACAACTGGGAGGGAATGAGACTGTTGCAATCATTGTCCCAGTCTCCGGCCAAATACTGAGCTCCTCTAAGCCCTTCCCAAGGACACAACACTTCCCATGCTCAGCCAGTTCTCCTTGATCAAGCTGCAAACAGCTCTCCATAGCAGTAGCCTGGCAGAGCCCAAAACTGAAGTCATACCCAAAAAATAGGTATTGGTATGGAGCAGAATCAGGTGAGAGATCCTTCCCCATGCAGTTCAAGTAGAATAATCACTGCTTAAACCACACAGAGCCTTTTGATAGGACTGAGTTATATATTTTTGTGAGTTTGGGGTGGGTTTTGGGTTTAGTTTCTTCTTTTGGGGTGTTTTGCTTGGTTTGGTTTTTAGTGTATTAAACCCATACAAAGGTATTTTAGTTTCTGGCCAAAAAAAAATGAGCCAGATCTTCCTGGCTGACAAACCTGTGTACTCCAAAGCAATTCTTCATTCATCAGATTCCACATACAGATATTAAAAAAAAATAAAAATAAAATTTAAAAAAAATGCAGAAAACTAATATGGGAACAATATGGAAATGGCAAAGTGGCTTTTTAGGAGGTGCTTGTTATGTGTGTGTTTCCCATGGAGAGATTTACACTGGAATAAAGACAAAAGCTGCCAGGCAGAGCTTCAGCTGATTTGCAACAAGGCTCCATCAGGCCAGGACATGTGACAGGGAGGATAGGGACAGCAGGGACACTAAGGAAGTGTCTGAGCTACGTGCTCCAGCTGCCCCTCAGTACTTACCAGTAACCATGGCATAAACACCATGGCACAACAGACTGGAGACAGGGGAAAAGGAAATAAAAAAGAGCTGTTAATAGAGCTCGAGTCATCACAGCACTGCTGCACAGGCCAACACAGGAGAACATCTAACCTGCATCTTCAGATCTTCCAGAGAGGCCTCTCCTGCTATCTCTATCCTGCCAGCATAACAGAGATCCAAACCTGGGTGGGTAGGTTCTGCTGGAGCTTTGAAGAGGGGGGAGAGGGAGGAGGAAGAAACAAATAACAGAAGAGTAAACATGATTTGTATAGTCCTGAGAGATAAGTCACTTCATGATCACATTTCACTTAGAGAAGGAGTCTGGAGTCCACTAAGAAAACCCAGGAATCCCAGACTGGTTTGAGTTGGAAGGGACCTTAAAGGTCACCTCATTCCAACCCCCTGCCATGGCCATATCCAGCATACAAAATATATCCTGGCGATTCCAAACAGCTCCTATACAGATCCTATACTGAGAATTTCAGAACTAGGAGCAGTTATTGCCACTGATAAACAGTGTTAGTTACTAGTTAAAGCTACTGCAAGCAAAGCTAAATTGCTCTTGGCTCCACTACTGGAATCAACAGGGAAAAAAGTGAAACTCAAGTTTGAGGCAGAAGGAGAAAAATGCAAAGAAAACTGCTACAAAGGGAGTAGTCCTGCCCTGCAGCACAACTCAGCACCAGAGAAATATTACTTTTATTAAAAAATGAAAAATCAATTTGTTCCCTATTTTCTAATTCTCTTATTTTCACTTCATTTTATTCTCCCTTCTCAACCCTCACTTGGTTTTGCTGCCCTGGCTGGTTTCGGATTTGACCTTCAGGAGGGCAAACAGTTTTTCAAAGACACTGCATTTAAGGTCTTTGATACTATGCAAATTTTACCCATCCTTCATTTTACAGCTTCCCAAAAAACAATGCAGCCTGAAGGGAATTCACTGTGCCTTCAGGAGTCGGGCATTTGAAGCAAATCACATCTGTGCTCATGAAGGAGATGCTTTACACTGCTGTCGCTGCCTTCAGTACAGAGACTGACAAATAAAGAGACCCTGCTACAAAATGTAGTGGTGTTTTGAGCCAATCCATCTGAGGAACATCTCTAGAACAGGATTACCCAGCATTTATGTCCAAACTGCATCTGTCTCCTGAGTGGTCCTTTCACCATAACCTTGATGCAATTCATGCAGCCCTTCCTAGGTTTCAGAAGGGTTTTCAAGCTTTGGATTAAAATTTGGGTTTGACTTAAAGAGCAACCACAGATGATTCCTTTCAAAGCTTGGCCAAGCTCACCTGCTGCAGCAGACACCTGCAAAGCCTCCATCTTCCGGGTGATCCCATTCACCTGGTCTTGTGCATTCTCTCCATGTTTCTTATGGCTTGAAGGCTTCAGCCACCAGATAGGGATTTTCAGGAAACCCTGGAACAGAAAATACCAGGTGGCTCCTCAAATATTGTGTGCAGATAAGGTGAAATTTCACCTTTATACAGGAAGATAGAAAAGATTTGTTTAAACTAAGCTTTTGGAAAAGGCCACCCAGGGTGGAGTCACCACTCCTGGAAGCATCCAAAGAATTTGTGGATGTGGCAGCTGGGGATGTGATTTAGTGGGGAACATGGTGGTGGTGCAAAAATAATGATGCTATAATTCTGAGAGACAACCTGTTCAGGGCCAGGTTGGACAGCACTTGGAGCAATCTGGGATAGTGGAAGGTGTCCCTGCCATGGCAGGGTGGCACTGGATGGGCTTTAAGGTCCCTCCCAACCCAAACCACTGTGGGATTCCAAGTCTCCAGATATTTCCCACTCTCCTTTTACCTTTTCTGGAAGCTTTCCTTCAGTTATAACCAAAGTGTCTCCTCTGCAAACATTGAGTTCCTTCAGGGTGGCATTCTGCAGGAAGAGAAAGCACAGGATCCCTGTCAGCCCACAGCTGCCATTCTCTCCAGGGAGCAAAGAACTGATGGCTTAAACAGGCTCCTCTTACTTGCTGACTTAATGCTTCCCCTGCCTCGTAGCACCAGTCAAGCCTTCTCAAATGCCAGTTGTCACCTACCAAAACCAAAAAAGACACACACAGAAAACTAATCAGTCAATAACACCAGTGTAGGAAAATATTACAAAACTCCTAACAAGTGTCAAGGGTCCTTTTTAATTTCTTCTTTATTTTTATTTGCTTTTTAAACACAACTCTGGCTAAATGAATTATCACTTTCATCTTCCCCAGACCTTTTGCTGTATGAAAATAATCTTTTATTTGCACAGATCTCCCTTCCTCACCTATCTAATTATTTTCCCTGGTTTCAGAGAAGGAATTCTCACGTGTCAAATTATCATTTGAATATATCACAAGCTCTTTCAAATAAGAACAATATTATAAAAACTTCATGTTTAGCATTCTTTCCCCTCCTCCCATTACAATAACACAGATTACTGAAAAACTTACAAGGTTTAGGATAGGAAAACTTATCTTAAAAATAGTAAAAATTCTATAAAAAATGTAAATAACAACACAACAAACCTGATAATCCTGATTTCTCCAGCATTAAATTGAGACACTGAAAGAAGAAACACAGGATGAGAGTTGTGTCAATGCTGAGGCTAGGAAATAAATTTTTCAGCAAACTTATGTTAGAATTTTCTGACATAAAGAATGACCGATTGCTGGTCAATTCTTAGAACAGTATAATTAGATAGACAAGATGTATTTGGGCTATATATTAAACCCTTCATGGATGAGATGGTTTTCAGGTGAAAAAATTCACCACATCAGCTGAGTCAGTAAAAAATTAAACATGCACTGTCAATTTGTTCCTTTACTTGAACAAATTCTGCCCCAGAGTTTGCAGATGCACCTTAAAAAAAAAAAAAAAAATCAAAGCTGCAAATTCAACTGGACTGGTAGCACCAGAGTTGCCTTCACTCTGTGCATGGCTCTTCCCAACTCCACTGCCTCCAGGTCTGTGCAAGGAATGTTGTTCAGCTTGGGAGCAGAGCTGTGGGAACAGCCAGTCTTACCTCTTTGACAGAGGCAGTCTCCTCCACAACTATCTCCATCTCAGGGCTGCAGTTTTGGTCACTCCCAACCATGAAGTACAGGAAGAGCTGAAAATCCAAAAGCAAACTATCACAATAAATATGGAAGTGTAAGAACAGTTCCTGTGGCAAGAATGTCATCAAAAAGCACTAAAATGGCACCAAAAACTGACACTCAAAGATAGTTGAGTTATGGCCATCAACAGACCCTCATTAACCTGGTCTCTAGAAATGCACCACTACTCCTCCTCCCCCTGCACATCAAGGCCAGGTTGGACAGGACTTGGAGCACCCTGGGATAGCAGAAGGTGTCCCTGCCCAAGGCAAGGTGTGGAATTGGATGAGCTTTAAGATCCCTTCCAACACAAACCATTCTGGCATCCTGTGATATTTACAACTTGCACATTCCAAGGGCAATATCCCCCCTTTTTTTCCCTTTATTATCTTTAGTAAACTCCATTCACCAGGCTCCTCCCATCTGACACTGCTGTACCTGAGTGGAAGTTGGAGCTTTCCCATGGCACAGGCCAAGCAAGCTTCCCATCTTAAGTTCTGCTTCCTTGACTGTGTAATCCTCAGGCACTTCAGGAAGGACAAATAAGAACATCAATTTCATCATCCTCAGAGCAAGCTAAAACTCTTCAGTGCTCTCTGGAGAGCTTGCTCAGCCCTGACAGCAGATCTGTGAATGTCCTATGAGGAGAACAAAGGCATGGAGAGCTCCCAGAGTCCATCAGGAGCACAGGTGGATTAGGGATGCATGCAATAAAACCAAGCTGGACATTTCAGCTTAACCCCTATCTTTGTATTGGTACTGTTAATTAACTTTAAAACATGAAACTCCCCACACACACAGAGCTGATTCAGTTAATCCTGGAATCAGTGGAGTTATGTGTGGGTAACTTCTCTCAGGAAAGGACAAACAGAGGCTCAAAATCTCCCCAGTGAGTTTCTTACAGAACAGTGATTCAATAAATCAGTTTACCTGGAGACAGAAGTTTCCCATTACCACTAACAGGTCTAAGACAGCTCTTGTTTCCTGCAGCAAAAAGGGCAGGAAAAAGAAGTATTAAGTCATTCAAATAGGAATAAAACAGGATTTTGGCTCAGAATTTCAGACAAATAACACCTTAAAGATTAATTACAACTGATTTATCTTAGAGGTCTCCCTCTGTGCCATCAAAATGTAACGGGAGAGAGACTCCTTGAGGCTCCATCAACAGTCTCAGCTTTTTCAGTTCTTACACTGAAAGGAAAATTCTTCCACTAAACCCACTCAAAAGCCAGTAAATTGTAACATTAGCAGACTGATAAAGCAACTGAACACGTACCCAGCTCCTCCTGCAGCTGAAACTCCTGGATTGCTTTCATTTTGATATCTGACATCACCTAAAAAACAGGAATGTTAAAAGGGATATGAACACCTCCAGCCTGGAATGCCACCAATACCCCTCCCTGCTTGTTCAAGTGCCAGTGCACAAAGATAATTCTTCCCCTCTCTTTTAGCTCTGGCTACTGACACCATCTCAAACTTCCATTTACAGGATGGTCCAAAGAGAAAAGTATTTGACTGTCCCAGATTAAGAAGCAAGATGTATTCATTTGCTATCTGTGTGGCAGTTGTCTTCTGTTAAGTGGGCAGTTTTTCCTTATCTCTTCCACAACCAGTCCTCTCTCAGGGGAGACATCTGCTGATAATGTGCTATTGAATGTCACTGCATGACTGATAAGAACTGTAAAATCCCATTGTGAGATGCTCCGCCCTGAGGGAGGAGCCAAGCATTCCTACCTGGATATAATCTTGAGTTTCAGGAATACCAGCACGACTTTTCCTGCACTGGATTGGCCAGAGGAACAGCTGCCTCTTCCACTGCAGGAAGACTACACTTCTTCTACAAGATCACCACTCCAACAGAACCACAGCTGACACTCCAGGAGGACTGCAGCCACAATTCCCAATTAGACTAATACCAACACCCTGTCCAACAGGGTGTCAGGTTGTATTCTGACTCTGTCAGTGTTGTTTTGGTTCACTGCATTGTTTATTTTATTTTTTATTTTCTTCCCTAATAAAGAACTGTTATTCCTGCTCCCACATTTTTGCCTGAGAGGCCCCCCTTAATTTTAAATTTATAATTCAGAGGGAAGGGGTCTACATTTTTCCATTTCAGGGGAAGCTCCTGCCTCCCTTAGCAGACACCTGTGCTTCCAAACCAAGACACTGACACTAAAACACTGCACTGGTTTAAGCTACCTGCAAATACCCCAGGGATTCTAACTCTGAGCTCAACACTAATTTCAGCAGGGAAAAGCTTCATCCCTGAGGCTACATCGAATGAGCTGGGCCAAATGCAGTGGCCAGGCTGTTCAGGAAAGCAGAGTCCTTACTGTTTCAATAGTGGCAGTGATTTTAACGTGTTTCGCCTCCTCTTCCACCCCACAGAAATTTTTCACTTGGAGCCAGCTGATGTCATAGGTGAAAGCAGTCAAATTCCCACTTGCCACGTTGACAAAGCTGTGGGAATCAGCAGTGCAAAGACAGAGACAGGAAAACTAAACACTGGCAGGGTTACATCACTCACCACCACAGCCTCCAAATAAACTGATGGTGCCAAAGTTGTTTATAGTGATGGCATCTCACAGAGCAGAGGCCTCAGGGAGCACAGAGTGTCATGAGACCACAAATTTGCCCGTGGCAACTTTGGATTCACCGAATATGATTGTTCACACCAGGTTTATTCCCATTAACAAGTGCAAATCAAAGGTTGTGACTGGTGCTGCATTTTGAGGGCAAGAAAAATCTAATAGCTAATAAATAACTGGTTTCCAAAACTTAAGATGAAAGTACTTGTATTTGTAAGCTTAAAGTGATAATTAATTACAAGAATATCTGTTGTTAGTATAATTTGAACTAAAAGGTTTTGCCAAAACTGCTTTTTTTGTTTAATTACAATCATAATCAAAAACGTTACCTCTGGTCATGGCTGTCTAAGATCAGCACAGAGCACCCGTCCCTGAGCCCAACACTTTGGATTGTTTCCTTCATGTCCTCCTCATGGAAAACTTGCCAGTTCTTGGCTTCTGTGTCTGCTCCTGAGCCATTCCTGAGGATGATGCCCCCGGCCGGAGCCAGGGCAGAGTGCAGCTGCCCCAGGCTGGTGCTGCAGGGGAACACGTGCTGCACCTCGCTGAAGTGCTGCCCCTTGCCACCTTCGTTGTGCTCGGCCAAGCGAAGCACGTTGAGCACCACGGGCTCATGTTCAGGGCCTGTCAGCACTTTTGTGCCTCCAACCTGAGGGAAAGCAGGAAAGAATGCCAGCTTTATGGGGAGCTGATCCAGAAAATACTGCAGAGACTGGGCAGGGAGAAAACTGAGATCAAAGTGGACACTCTCCCCTCACAGACAAACTTCCTTCGACCAAATTTGCACTGAACAAAACCAGAGTAATCCACAGGTGATGGGAAGAGAGAGAAGAATGTTATCCAGAGGAGCTGTGGCTACCCCTGCATCCCTGCAAGTGTCCAAGGTCAGGCTGGACAGGGCTTGAAGCAACCTCGGACAGTGGAAGGTGTCCCTGTCCATGGCAGGGGGTGGAATGAGATCCTTAAGTCCCTTCCCAAACCATTCCATGGTAAGCAACTGGGAAACCAGTGGACACTTGGCAAAAAAAAAAAAAAAAAAAAAAAAAAAAAAAAAAAAAAAAAAAAAAAAAAAAAAAAAAAAAAAAAAAAAAGACACAGGAATTTAACCCCTCAGGACATTAAAGAATTGCCCAAATGTGACTGAACATTGTGACTTTACATTTTAAAAGCTTGATCTTCCTGATATTCAACCTAAATTCAACCTAAACTCCTTGCTGAAGAAAATTTAATGACACAAAAGCTGCAATAGAAAAAATTATAACAAAAATAAAACCAAGATGAAACAGGCTCCCTCACTATATGTTTGGGTGGTTTTGTTTAGTTTGGAGTATTTTTTTTTTTTCAGAAATCCAATATAAAATGGATACTTTTACAATAAAAATAATTTACAAGTAGTATTTTATTCCACTAGAGAGACAGAATAGAATGCTGCGCTTCACAACCACTTCCAGGTTAAGCAGAAGCCTCAATATTAAAAGGAAGGTGGAAAACTACAAAAGCAGCACAGTATTTCTAGTAGACCTTGCAAAGTCTTATCTCTTCAGAGCTGACAAGGAAGGAAGTGCTTAGTTCCTTTACCTCTTTTCCATTCCAGACAAAGATGTCTGCTCCATCAGCCAGCCCAATGCCATCCAGGGTCAGCTCATCTCCTAAAAAACAGGAGCAAATCATCAAGTTCTTGCTCCTCACAAGACATACAAACAGGGTCAGCAAGTTTTTAAAAGTCGCTACACTTAAAGAACTGTACAAGCATGGGGAGGAATACTTAAGAGTAGCTCTGAGTGTCCATTTTCAAGTCAACACCATGCAGAGCTGGTTTATGTTCTGGTTCAACATTGATTTTCTGAAGCTGACCACAGAGAACATAAGATTTAAAAGTTACTGAATAAGTTGTTAAAGACTAACACTTAGAACTGCCTAACAAAGCAAAGCTGGAGACAAAAATGACAATTTGAAAACCTGAAGTACCCTTAATAAATTAATGAACTCTTTATATGAGCATTTCCCTCTACAAAATTCCTACTTCAGCTAAAGTCTAGCCAACATTTTCCTTTGATGTCACCCTGGCTCCTTCTCTTCTCTCCTCCACCTAATAGGCCAGTCCTATGAAAGCAAACATCCACAGGGAAATCAAGGGCAAGACACAGACTGATACATTCTTGTCAGCAAATGTGCTTAGCTTGCTTAAGATCTGCATTTCACAACAAAGATTTCACAGCCAAGTCTCAAAATACAGCAATAACATGGAAGTCTGGCATGCAGTGCTCTTACCATCAAGCACCTGGTACAGATGTAATCCTGCTGGCAAAGGCTTGGCCATGCTGAGAACCATGTCCCCTTCCCAAGACTCCAACACCTAGTTGGGAAAAATAACCAGAACAATTATCACTGTAAAATAACAGTGAGCAGTAACTCATAGCACTCACAATAATTAGAATCTGCTGAAAGCTGCCACAGCCTGGCTCCCAAGCTCACTTGGTGCCACTTAACTGGTGACTCCTTGAAAGGACAAAGAAAACTCTGCCACAAAATGAAATATTAAGAATAAGCCTGGAATTCTGCAGAGTCAAACCATGGCCAGACACATGATACCCAAATATCATTAATTAGCTCATGTGAACTTTAAAGTCGCCATAGTTAAAATTCCAGCAATTTCATGGCTTCAAGAACAGACCCCACACCACTCTTTCCTCTTAGTAAATTCCTATTAAATTTTTAGCCTCCCAAACTCCATTTACTGTTGAAAATTTCGCCTTGACACAAAGATTGTCACATAAATATATTTGTAAAGGTTGCAGTGGCTCAAGAAAAAATGAAGTTTGAGTTGATTTGATAGAGCAGGTACCTGTAACACTGCCTGACGAAGGTCTCCCAGTGTCTTCCTTCTGTCAATAGTCAAATCCACTACACTCTCTTTGCAAGAAAGTGAAGGATGCAAAGCCCCATTGTGGAACTTGTAGCAGGAGCTCAGGTGGAGATGTAAATCAATGCCATTGTTTGCCGAGTCACATTCAGCTCTTTTTGAGAACAACACAACAAAGTGGTGAATTTAACACCAAACGGATATTTCTGTGCAGCTGTCCTGGAACTGATCCCCTCAGGGCTAAATCCCCTGTCACATCCCCTCCTCCTTTATACCTGTCCCTAGCTGTAGCAGCAAATCTTTAAAAAACATAAAGGAGTGGAATTCACTCAGAAACAGAATCCTAGGATAGTTTGGGTGGGGAAGGACTTAAAGCTCATCCAGTCCCACCCCTGCCATAGGTAGGGACACCTGCCCCTACCCCAGGCTGCTCCAAGCCCCATCCAAGTGGCCTTGGACACTTCCAGGAATGGGGCAGCCACAGACTTGTGTGAAATATCCCATGAACTGTCACTCTTGTGTCTGTATTTTGATATCTTAACTGTGATTCAGGTGTACCAGCACCTGTGTCCCTCAACACAAGGGAAAGTTTTGTCCAACCCGAATACCACAACTAACTCTTAAGGCAGAGCATATCATTTATCTGTAAATTCAATGTTAACCAAGTCCTTCCCCCTTCCCCCGGTGCAGAATTCCCTCTATAAACACAATTAAGATATTACATTCCACCCTCTTCCCATAACTGCAGTGATTTTCACCAGAAAATGGTACAATTTGAAACTGTGTGTTTCTCTTGAAATTCTGTAGGCTGTCTACTAACAGGGAAGACAGGGAACCAGCAGAATATGGATATAAAAATTATATTCAATTAACCTCTGACATAGAAATTCCTTGAGCAGAGTCAGAACTGAAATGGTTTAATCTTTTTCAATCCCTTGGGAGCTCTGCAGGTAAAAGCTGTTTGAGTACAGTGACACCAATATACCTCTTTTTTTGCAGCTCTGTATTAGCAGCATTCATTTCATTCAGCAGGTGCTCAGGAATTTGGTACCTTGGATTTCCACATGCTGCAACAAAAAATATAGGCTTAAAATGTGGTTTGGAAAACAAGAAAAGTTATCAAGAGGAGACATTACAGTACAATAATCACTGAAAACTCAACTGCATGATGATATAAAGAACAAACGCTTTTACTCCTTCCAATCAATCTTTCTTTAAGGGAAATTAACACATAAGCGCGATTAGCAACAACTTGTTTTTGATGCTCTGCCATTATTTATGGAGCACACTAAAAAAAAAAAAATAATCAGCTACAGACAGTCAACAGGTCACCACCTCCTTTTATCTTCATTTAACTCTTTTTTCAAATGATCACTATAAGGAAAACTGGGGAAAATAAAGCTTGGAAAGGACAAAAAAGCACTCCAGAAAAAATGTCAGCAGGAAGCCCCCCAGAATCTCCAGATGAGCTTTGTATACCTTCAGGGGGCCTCTTCAGCTGAGCTTTTCTGTAGAACAGCATGTAGGCACTCTCTTTACCCTGAAACTGCTTCTCAATATCCTTCTCCTTGATGGGCTGTACTTTGGAATCATTCAGATCAAACCAGTGGCACCCAGCAGAAGCAGCCCTTGGCCTTGGGGGGCTTTTCTCATAGTTCCACTGGACACCATTCTTCTGGGAAGGGCTTTGGAGATTTTGTCCATGAGAATCCAGCTTGAACAGGAGCTTGTGTGTTTCCTTCAGGCCGACCTTATTTCCATCAGGACTCAGCTGGAATATCTGAGGATGATTCTGCAAATACTGAAACGGAAGCAAGGACAGGATGAAGAAAGTGCCAAATTTTAAGTGGAGCAGACTTCATTAAGCTGCTCTACCTGATTGTCCTCAAAGTGAAACACAAACCCCATTTATTCAACTCTCATTTTCTGGTGTTCCCTCACCTATTTTCTCAGTTTGCCTCTGTAAAAGCCTCACATCTACATTTAAATATTTCTTGTGGAAATTACAAGTAGCTCCCTTCAAAAAAAAACAATTATCAGTGTTCCACCTATCTATAACACAAACGATGAACTATTTTCATTAACACATCATAAAATGCAGCAACCATTTGGAAAATCGTTTTACTGGAAAAAAAAAAAATACACAAAGTCTCAGGCAGACAGTTCCTTGGGAATCTTATGTTCCCCAGCCTGCTAATTCACATGACAAACCTCTCCTTGCACATGATAATCCAAGGGTCCATATTCTCAATTATCATACTCCTGACTATTCAATAATAATATAAATGATCATAAAAGCCATCTAAAGCCAAAACTAGCAAACCTGCGATTACCTTTCGTAATGCCCCATATTGTTTTCTGTATTTCTTATTCCAGGACACCCCTTTCTTCTCCAGTAATTTCTGCCCTAATTGATCCACGGGAATTTGTTTAGCTTCTTCCTGAGAGAAATGAAAAACTAAGGTAACAAAGGCTACAAAAGTCAAGCAGTCAACACAAAGAAGCCAATTTGGAAGTGCTTTAATCATTCCTGGTTTTTAATAAGCTGCTGTAGCATCATCTGGAGCTGTGTCAGGAAGGTTTAGGTTGGATATCAGAGAAAGGTTATTCCCTCAGAGGGTGCTGGGCACTGCCCAGGCTCCCCAGGGAATGGGCACATTTCCAAGGCTGCCAGAGCCCAAGGAACTCCCAGGACAATGGTCTCAGGAATGGACAAGCTGGGATTGGTGGGGTGTCTGTGCAGAGCCAGGAGTTGGATCAATGCTCTTTGTGAGTCCCTTCCAACTCTGGATATTCCTTTTGCATCAGCTTTGGTGAGCAACTTTAGAAATACTCCAAAAGGACCTCTGTCTGTATGAAGAGCCACTGTTAATATTAAAGCCAAGTTTTAAATGTTTCACACCAAGCTCAGAAGAGCTCTGGACCCTGAAGCCTGTCCACTCTCACAAACAGCAACCCCCTGCAAGTTCCCTAGCTCCAAAAACAAAGCAATGAACTCCTTACATACCATACCTCTGATAAAATCCCTTTTAAGACTGCCAGTGGATTTTCTGTTTCTTTGGCATTCTCAGTGTCTCTTAAATCCTTCTCTTCAATCAGGCCATCCTCTTCTTCCTGGGTAAGAAAGACACTCAAAATTACTGTGGTTTCACACACAAATAGACATGATCATGCACAGTTTAGGAGTGTGAAGGACATTCAGTTAAACTGTCCTTCTCAATGAGGCAAGACACACAAAGCCTCATTAAAATATTAATTAAGTTTGGACCCACATTCACCCACTAGCTCCTAATACTTTTCTGAGAAGTACAACCTCTAAAGCAAGGAAGAAAAGCCTTTAGTACTTACTTGGAGTTGCCAGTTTCCTAATTCATCCACATCTCTGATATAAACATGATAGTGCCCTCCATAGCAGCCACCTTTGTGTATAATAACAGAGAAGAGCTCATACATGTACTCTGAATCATCCATTTCAGTCTTTAAAAAGAAAAACAATAATTTTAACACCAACTGAGGTCAGTCTCTCACACAAGGACAACTTTATACCTTTAGCATCACTTCAGAGATTTCTCAGTGTGCGTTTGCACATGCAGAGACTGAATGGCCTTTGAGGACTGGGGACACAAGGAAGGACTGGCACAAGCCACAGAGCAAGGCACAGGCTGATAAATCGTAAAATCTCAGAAATGGTTGGGCTGGAGGGACCTTAAAATTCATCTGAGTTCCTGCCAGGGGAAGGGACAACCTTCCACTAGCCCAGGTGGCTCCAAGTCCTGTCCAAGCTGGCCTTGGAGACTTCCAGGGATGGGGCAGCCACAGCTTCCCCGAGCAATCTGTGTCATTAAACAAACAGGATTCTGAACCATACTGGAAAATCAAAATATTTTCAATTTCAATGTTTGTTCACAACAAAGCTTATTTTCTTTAAAAGAGGAGAGAGAAAAGAAGCAACTCTTAGAAACTCTAAAACTGGGGAAGGGGAAAAAGGTTTCCTCAAATTCTAACACTGAGAAATTTCCAAAGCTTGCATTGCAACACTTCAAGAAGAAAAAATGTCTGTTCCATAAGAGTGGCTCTGTTGTGCTGTTTAAGAATCAAAATTTGTCATCAAGCCATGGCATAGCTCAGTCTATAACCAGAAACATATTTATGAATGCAGAGATTCCTGAGAAAAATTGAATAAATACAGGCTCCTAAAGCACATATAGCTTAATTTATGCATGATGCACTCAGAGAATAACCACACAAAAATAAATTTTAATTTCCATTTCCAGATAATGATCTTCCTGTCAAGGAAAGGTTAGATAACTTTTGGGTAATTATTTTACCCTTACCCCTCATAGCTACAAGATAGCTCAGTTCAGAAGTGGAGGAGGACACCAAAGTTACTCAAATACGTGACAAAATGCAAGAAAAAGATAACCTTGAGCTGTGGGTTCTCTGCTGAGTATACAGAAACTTTTAACAAACGTTAACAGTGCCCACCTGCTCACAGAAAGGCCTCAGGTTGATTTGGATGGGGAATGTGTAGCAGCTCGTTTCCTTGTACCTCTCACACTTCTCAAAGTCAAAGTTGAACCTCAGGAGGGAAATGGTGAGGAAGGGAGGCAGCTTGCGTAGCTTAGCAGACTGAGAAGGGATTTAAAAAACACTTTAAGCAGAGACTCAGAACAAAACTGTGCTTCCACCTTGCTGTAGTCAAATCCCTTTCCACCAAAGCTTTGTTACCACCAGAGACAAAATCAGTGCCCTCATTTTTGAAATTACTTCACTAATTCTCAATTTCCCTTCCAACTACACAACCTAAAAGTGACCCAGATCATCTCCCCCTGTTGAGCCCCACATCCTCCTTGACTGGTGATCACCAGTCCCAAACTTGATCCTGCCACAAATAAAGGACATCGGTGAAATTCCAGCCAGTAATGGCATTTCCATAGCCCATGGGCTCTGTACAGGCAGTCACAGAACAGCCAGGAGGTAAAGTCTCCCTCATTTCTACAGGGGAGCACACTTCAGGCAGGAAAGCCAGGATAATCCATTTTAATGATCCCAGATTAATCCAGATCCAACCACTAGATGGGTGAGCCCATCAAGAGCCTTCATGAGAAGTAAAACCAACCATCTTGTACCACCTGTGACAGGTGTAAGTTCCATGGCCACATTTCTGAGCCTTTCCAATGTCTCCCTTCTCCTCTCCACTGGCAGAGCCATAACAGAACACATACAGGGTTTAAGAAATCCCCTGAATTAGGAATTCCATTTGCATCCACAACCTGGCAACCCCCAGCTCTGTGATTTCCTACCAAAATTCAGAGTTCCCACTCTCCTCCTACATGGATGAGCACTTGTGAGAGGCAGACAACTTAGCCCTGTACTGCCTTGAACCCAGCCCAGTTAAACTCCAGCCAACCCTTGCAACAAGACATGTGAGGCACTGCTGAGAGTTCCTGAACTCCCAAGTCACTGATTAACCTGGCCTGACCTAAGCTTCCCTTTGAACGACTCCCGCCACATCCAGAGGGCTGCAGAGTTTGGATTTCACCCATCCTGCAGGAGACCAAGGAGCTCTGCTGCTGTGACAAGGGCAGAGGGCAAAAACAGCCTGAGTCTGCTTCCCCCCACAAAAACAGAGCAACAGCCACCCATTGCTCTTCTCTCTCATTTGGGTTCTCCAGAAGTGAGTTTCCATGATTTCTCGCATTGCATATTTTTATTTTGTGGTCTAACTTATCTTTTAGCCAATCCTCCAGAATGCACAGACCAAGGTGCAGCAGAGGTGTTTTGAATGTGTCAATACTCCCCAAATTATACCACACTCCTCCATGTTAGGGACAAAAACTGCAATAACATTCGGGACATGAGCCACAGGAGATTTTCTTGACATCCCTGCTGAGGTTTCATAGAACACCAGGATGGTTTGGGTTGGAAGGGACCTTAAAGCCCATCCAGTGCCACCTACTGCTGTGGGCAGAGACAGGTTCCACTATCCCAGGGTGCTCCAAACCCAGCCTTGGACACTTCCAGGGATCCAGGGCCAGCCACAGCTTCTCTGGCACCCTGTGCCAGGGCCTCCCCAACCTCACAAGGAAGAATTTTTTCCTAACATCCCAACTAACCCTACATCATCCCACCCCAAGGTATTACCTTTGAAGCTTCAACCAGTTTATCGCAGGCTCCACATCGATACAAGTTGTCATTCTCAAAGTATTCTTCCTCCACGTACATGTTCCACAGGGCCTCCTCCAAGCCAGCCACACCTTTCACTGCCACTGTGAGGTCTAAGAAATCTTCCTGTGCAGAAAGAACAAGAAAAAAAGAGGTGCTGAGGGGTGCAAGTTTATGGTGATTAGAAAGATACCCATCCTATTCATCACAGTGATGGGCAAAAATACCTCACACAGTCACAGAAATTTATTTTTAAAAACTGATTTTTTTAAATTACAAAGAGCATAAAATTAAATTACAAAGAGCATAAAATTAAAATTAAATTACAAAGAAATTTAATTACAAAAATTACAAAAATAAATTTAATTACAAAATTAAATTACAAAGAGCATAAAAGACTGTCAAGGTATGTTTTGCTGTTACCTCACTGCACTCTGTGATAACTACATCTATTAAAGGCAGGGTTTGTGAACTCAGAAGACGCAAAACATTTGGGTTTTTTACCTCTCTTAGAAAATGCAGCCCAAGACCTGAAGTCCAACACTCACTACCTGGATTCAACACGGCACTCAACAAGGGTGACGTTATTTTTTGGACTTTAGAAACAATAACATTAAAAGTCAACAGCCTGAAGTAAATCCCAATGGAAGATCCCTAGCTTTACCTGTCTCTCACTGACGTTCTTGCACTCCTTACAGACGATCTGGTTGACAACAATGCCATGGTACAGGCGGTTGATGAGGTCATGGCCTGATGTCCCCACCAGGGAAGTCTCCAGAGCACTGAAGAGGATCCTGTTCAATTCCTGCACATCATGCTGCCTCATCTCCTGCAAGGAGGGAAACCCAAACAGGATGGAATGAAACACTGCTGCACTTGGCTTGTGGCTTAAAAATAGCATACCAAGTGTTCTAGAGTCTCAATGACTACTCATATATTTACTCCTTGAGTACTAAAGTACATCTATTATTGTTAATTAGGTTATGCTACAACCTAAGACACTTTCACTTGGGTAGAATCACAGAATTGGTTTGGGTTGGAAGGACCTTAAGGATCATTTTGTTCCACCCCTACCATGGGCAGGGACACCTTCCACTGGCCCAGGCTGCTCCCAGCCCCAGTGTCCAACCTGGCCTTGGGCACTGCCAGGGATCCAGGGGCAGCCACAGATGCTCTGGTCACTGTGTGCCAGGGCCTGCCCACCCTCCCAGGGAACAATTCCTTCCCAATATTCCATTTACACCTGCTCTCTGTCAATTTGAAGCCATTCCCTAGATTTAGATTAATCTCTGACTGACACGGTTCAACTTGGGTAAGAACCTAACAATCTGAGCCTGTTGGAAAAACACTCCTGTAAAGACAAAGGAAAAGCAACTGGAATTGTATCTAAGAGAACAACCATCTTCTGTTCCTCCCTGTAAACAACTGCCATGGACTCCACATGGAGATCCAACAAGATACACCAAGAGCTGACCCAATTCAATGTCATCTCTGCAGCCTGAAAGATTTTAAGGTATTTCCTAAGTGTCAGACTTGCAGAACCCATCTGTATCCAGGGAGAAGTGTGTGGGGATGGCAACTGGCACCTCGTGGCCGCTCCAGCCGAAGCTCTCGGTGAGGTCTGTGGTGGATGCAGCCTGCTGGTCCAGGAGCAGGAGCTGAGCAAACAAGCGCTGCAGCTGCAGCGGGATGATCCGAACCTGGCAGCACCAGCAAGGGAACAGAGCCAGCACATCAGACACAGCCTTCACAGCAGCCATTCCAGCAGAAACAGAGGCTACTTACCACAAAGCCGGGGATAAACTACCCCGTTAGTAACATGCATTCCTCAGTTCACACCAAGCAGCCAGACTTGGTTCACAAAAATCTACAGTGCCTCACCTTACACAGCCAAGTGGAACGGTTTGGGTTGGGAAGGACCTCAAAGTCCATTCCATTCCACACCTGCTATGGGCAGGGATACCTCCCACCATCCCAGGCTGCTCCAAGCCCCAAAGTCCAGCTTGGCCTTGGACACTTCCAGGGATCCAGGGGCAACCACAGCTGCTCTGGGATTTCCATCCCAGCCCCTCCCCACCCTCCCAGGGAACAATTCCTTCCCAATATCCCACCCATCCCTGCCCTCTGGAAGTGGAAGCCATTCCCTGTGTCCTGTCCCTCCATGCCTTGTCCCCAGTCCCTCTCCAGCTCTCCCAAAGGGCTTGGTGGTGGGGTGGAATGAGGTGGGAGGGAGAACACCTCAGCAGAAACAGACTCCATATCTGATTTCTGAAGTAAAACCTTAAGGCAATGAAAGCTTAGAATGGTGTGAAAAATCCAGTATCAGCCAGACCAAACTGCCTCTCAGTATCAAATTTAGATTTTCACTCATTTTCTTAAGTTTCACATGAACTGCAGCCATATTCCTCCAAATCAGCATTGGACAATGATGAACAGGAAAATTCCCAACACCTTTGCATCTGGTTTCCTGGTGTCATCCAGAGTGCCAAGTTCTTCAGGTCCCAGGGAGAACAAAGCCTCTGCAATTGGTAAAAAATTATTACTTAAAAAGACAACATCCCCTCTTTAAAAATTTAATGTCTTTTAATGTCAAACACTATGATTTTATTCTGCAATAATTTATTTAAAGTGAACTGTGCTCCAAAATCACCTGAGTTCACTATGTTTCTTAAATAAATAACCAGGAGGGCAAGTCTCACTAAAATAGCAATCCCAACATTATTTTAAGAAGGTTTTGAGCATCTCACCTCTAAATTCAGGCGTGAAAAGCAGAGTCTGCAGAAGGGAATTGAGGTAGCAGGTCCCACCCTGATTTTTGATTCCACTGAGGTTGGTGAAATCCCTGGGAGCTGGAGGCTCAGACACTCTGGGCTTTGATTTCTTCCCTTTCCCATAATGATTGTTGGAAATAAAGGAAAAATCCTCTTCAAATAAGTCCCCAAACATTGTGAAGGCAGAAGAGTCTTTTAAAAAGATACAATAAGTATTTACTATAAAAAATGCAGTTGAACCCATTGGTCTCAAATCCTCCAAGATAAACCTGGAAGCCTGGACAGATGAATTTGTTTGGGGCTTTTTTTCCACCTTATTCTGGTCATTCTAAATATAAACCCATGTAAAAGTGTAAATTAATGTAACAAAAACAGGGTGAATTAAAAGCATTTCTGTTACCACAGGTCTGAGCAGTCTTTTCACCAGAATCAAGCCCACCACAATTCCATTTTGCACAAAGCTGTTATTTATTCCTACAAGTGAACTATCCCCTACCTTGGATTATCCTTATCCACCTCCTCCAAATCCCTGGCACTTCTTCATCAGAGACATTAAAGCAGAAAAATTTTAAAGTTTCACCTTCCTAATGAACATAAATAGCAAATAAATCACTTTGCATCAGCTTTTCTTTCTCTGAATGCAACTCTTGACTGCCTTAAAATCTCTGTAAAGGCCCTCTTCCCAGGCTGCTGGATGGAATTCCTGGGCTTGGCACTCAATCCAAGCTGCCTTCCAACCCTCATTCCTGTTTCCAGTCAGGCCTGTTGTGCTTTAGATTCTTCTTCTCGTTGAATCTCCTCCCAGCAGCTCCTGAGTGGATGGTTTGTCCCAAAAAAGAGCCATATCCAGGAGACACCACCCACCCACTACCCTGGAGAGGCACTTGAGTGCCAAATCCTCCCTCGCTCCTTATTTCTGGATCCTCCTTCCCTTAAAAACCACACAAGAATAGCAGCTGGAAGGGATTCTGGATGGCCCAGGGACAGCTCAGAGCACAGGGCCTAAGGCTGGAGTGAATCCATGGCAGGAGAAACAAAAATCCTGGAATAAATCCATGGCAAGAGAGCCCAAAACCTCTTTAATAAATGCATGACAGGAGAACACAAAATTCTCTAATACTTCCATGAGAAGAGATCCACAAATCCCTCTAATAAACCACAACTCTCCAATGAGATTCCCAAACCCCTCTAATAAATCCATGACAGGAAATCTCCAAAACCCCTTAAGGTATAGATGACAAACGATCCCAAACCTCTGTAATAAATCCGCAGCAGGAGCTCCCAAACCCCTCTAATAAACCTAAGAGAGCAGAGCCCAAACCCTTTCAAAAAACCCATGGCAGGAGATTCCAAACCCTTCTAATAAAGCCCTAAGATTCCCAAAGCCCTCTACCATGATGACAGAGGTTCCCAAAACCCTCTAATAAACTCATGGCAGAAGTTCCCAAATCCCTGTAACAAACCCATGACAGGAGATCCCAAACCCCTCTAATAAATCTGTGATAGGAGATACCAAACCCTTTTAATAAACTCATGACAGGAGAGGCCAAACCCCTCTAATAAATCTGTGACAGGAGGTCCCAAACCCTTTTAAAAAACCCATGACAGGAGATCCCACACCGCTCTAATAAATCTGTGACGGGAGATACGAAACCCTTTTAAAAAACCCATAACAGGTGATCCCACATCCCTCTAATAAGCCCATGGCAGAAGATGCCAAAACGCTCTAATAACCCATGACACGAGATCCCAAACCTCTCTAATAAATCTGTGATAGGAGATACCAAACCCTTTTAAATAAACCCAGGACAGGAGATCCCAAATCCCACTAATAAACCCATGGCAAGAGATTCCAAGCCCCTCTAACAAGCCCGTGCCAGGAGCCCCTCAAAGCCCCCCACAGCCCCCCACTCACCGCGCCCAGCCCGGCCCTACAGCCACGGGCCAGCGGCCGCCGCCATCTTTGTTGTGTGGCGCCGCGCAAAGCCCGCCGGGACCGGCGGCCCGCGGTGAGGGCGGGGCCGCGCGGGGCAGGCTGGGAGTTGTAGTTTCACCACCGTGAGGACAGAGGGTGTCATGGCGCTCTGTGTCAAACCCATCCCTGGATGCGTTCCAGTGTGGATATTCTCAGTTCAGTCAGTGTGAAAAATGCATATTTATGATTGGCTTTTCTCAAATGTTACAATGAATACTATATGTGTGATGTTAGAAAGTTATGCTGTATTAATTCTCTTACGTATTGTGTTAAGTGTCGTTTTAGGTTACAACATAATGTTAAAATAGAGACTGTGTATATGGGGGAATTTTTTTTTTTTTTTTTTAGGAATGAGATACTCACTTCGAGGAACACCTAAATGTTCTAAAGGAAAGGAATCTATGGCTTCTTATCAGAAGAAGCTAATTTCTTCAGGCCTTGCTCAGACTCAAAGACGCCAGGGGATTAAAGAAACAGTTGATATACAACATACAGAGCTTCTTGTTTAGAATAGAATGTATGCATAGCCATGAAGGATGCACGAATATGCAACAAGTGTATTGGTTTAAGGGTGATTCTTTTGTTCACAAGTCATGCTTTTCGTGACTGAGTGTCTGAGAGCATGCGGACATCCATAATTCTTTGCTTTTTATTGTCTTGTAATTGTCCTAACTCTAAACTTTATTACTCTAATTGTATTATTATTTTTATAACCATTTTATTGTTATTAAACTTTTAAAATTTTAAAAACCAAGTGATTGGCATTTTTCACAGTCAGAGAGAAAAAGATTTCCGCCAGGCTAAACCTGGGAAAAGTCCGATAGGAATGTAAACAATCTGTTAACTTGTTTTCCATTCATTTTTTTTATAGATATGTTCTACCACCCTGACTTAAGCCCAGCGTACCAACCAAGATGAAATGTTTTTACTTTAAGACCACTGGAATGAATGTTCACGATGTTCTCTATAAAAGAGAGAAGTGCTTTTGAATAAAGCTCATTTGCCTTCTGAAATCATATGAGTCATCCTGCCCATCTCTGGCTCAGCTGTGTCATTCCAGGACACACTCGATGAGGGCTTGGAGTGACCCTGGACAGGGGGTGACCCCCATGGCAGGGGATGCAGCGGTCCCTTCCAACACAAACCGTCCTGGCATTCTACAAAAACTCTTTCAAACAGTTGGTTTCTGTCATGGATTTATTACAGGGATTTGGGATATCCTGCCATGGTTTTATTGAAAAGGTTTTGGGATCTCCTGATGTGGATTTATTAGAGAGATTTGGGGCTCTCTTTTCATGGGTTTATTAGAGGGATTTGGTGATCTCTTTCTGGATTTGAGATTCTATTTTCATGGATATATTAGGTGGGATTTGGATCTCCTGCCATGGGTTTATTAAAGGATTTTGGGATCTCCATTCATGATTTATTACAGGGGTTTGGGGATCACCTTTCATGGATTTATTAGAGGGGCTTGGGGATCTATTGCCATGAATTAATTAGAGGGATTTGGGATCTCCTTTTATAAATTTATTATAGCAGTTTTGGCATCTCTGTCTGGATGAATTAGAGGGATTGGGCATCTCCTGCCATGGATTTATTACAGGAGCTTGGAGATCTCTGTTCATGGATTTATAAGAGGTAGTTTGGGATCTCCAGTCATGGATTTATTCCAGCCTTGGCCGGTGTGTTGTAGCTTCTCTAATAATTCCCTCCTGAGTATTCCCTAATAATTCCTGAGCCTGGGATGGCCCAGCCTGCACCTGACAGAATCATCCACCTTGGAAAAGACCTGCAGGGTCATCCAGTCCCAGCCTCACGCCAGCACTACCATCATCATCCCTAAAGCACATCCCTAAGTGCCACATCCAGGCTCCTCCTGGACACTTCCAGAGACGGCGACTCCACCACCTCCCTGGGCAAATTATTCCAGTGCTTAACCATTCTTCCAGTGATTTTTTTTTTTTCCCTAATACCCACTCTGAACCTCTCCTGGCACAACTTGAGGCCATTTCCTTTCATCCTTTCCCTTGGGACACAGCAAGACAGCGTGATCCCACCCCAGCTCCTGTCAGGGAGACGTAAAGGTGACAGAGCCTCCCTTTCTCCATGAACATCCCCAGTTTCCTCAGCTCAGGAGAGTTTTTAACCCCTTCCCCAGCTCTGTTATCCCTCCCTGGACAGCGCTGCACCCAGATTTGTACCTTTTCATCCAAATCCAGATGTCCCACTCTCCCTTTCCTCAGGTGTGAGCAGGGAGTGACTTTGATCTCATACTGCCTTGAACCCAGCAAATTCCAGAATTCCTGGCTGGGATAACCTGGGATAACCAGGCCAACTGAGGGAGCCTCTGACAAGTTCACAAACACTGAGGTACTGATTAACTTCAGCCATCCCGGGATTGCCTTTGCACCCACTCCTCACGTTGAAGGTTTGGATGGAAAATTCATCCTGCAGCAGGAGGGAGAGGAGGGCAGGACATTTCCCTGCCAGCCCTCTCCTTATCCCACTTCAGCAAACAGCTGGGGTGCCATCACAAAATACAGAAATTAACTTTTTTTTGTGAGAAAATGCTATTTGTTAAACTGGTCAGCTTCCCAATGCCCAGTTCCAAATGTGCTTTATAAAACACCCGAACATATTTAGCACTTGTTACTCTTATGTTTTTCCTTTAAAGTTTATAATAGATTTCAGAGAGTGTTTTAGCATTGTTTACTGCAGAGCTTCTCCCCACTACTCTGATGCTCAAAAATTTTGTTTTCTGAAAAGCCATCCTGACATAAAACTGGTCTCTGCCACCTTCCCAATAGAAAGAATTAAAGATATTGGTAAAACAGGAAAAATCAATAAATAAGGCTGATATGAGGAAAACAACGTGCAGTTAATTTTGGTGCATTGACCACGGCATGAAGAGAGAGGACAGAATTTGTATGCCTGAGGGATGGAGGCTGCATGGCTCTGAGTATCCTGAATTTTTTATTTTGCCATCAATGGCAATGCTGTGAGGCTGGGGAAATCACGTCTGTGCTGAACATGCTCCTTTGCTGAGTCAGGTCTGAAACCTGAGGCTTCAATGGTTCCTAAAACTCTTTTAGTGCTGGTCTGATTCCTGGTGGGGAGGAGTTTTCAGCTACCTGGGGGCCACCTCCCAGCCTGGGAAACAACTCTGTAAAGTGAGAGTTTGGGCTATACAGAGAGACGTCAGCCCCTCTCAGCACCTCTTTGTGGTGTCCCTGGCACTGAGGAGGTTCCTGCCAGCTCAGAAGAGCCTTGAGCCTTGTCCTGAGGGTCTCCTGCTCCATCCCTGGAGGAATTATGTGAGGATCTGTGTCTCCAACATGGAGAGGGTCTTTTCCATTTGTTACTGTGGGCTTGGGAGTTGTTCACACCAAGGCTGCCTCCCTGACTCCTGGCCAAGGTGTAACACAAGACACAACAAAGACAAGGAGTCCTGAGGGATGCGAGTAGCACATTGAGGGGCTAATGCAACATTGAGAAACTCCAGTGACTCAGCATTTAAAAGATCACCAAATCTCGGCTTTCCAAGCAAGGGGGGAAAAGGCAAAATAAACTACCCACAAACCAAAGCAGTGAATCATTAACAACAGGAACATCAAAGAGCACAGTGCAACAAATCCACCCATCAGTTGCTTTCCAAAGAATCTTCAGGCTACAACCTGCAGGAGAAATCTCTTCCACGGCCCCTACTCCAACCACAGCAACATGGCTTTGAGGCTTTGCTGTGCCTGGATTGCCATCCTCTTCCTCCTGCCCAGCCTCTTGGATGGAGGGAAGCTCCTGGTGGTGCCCATGGTGGGAAGCCACTGGCTGAGCATGCAGGAAGTGGTGGAGAAGCTGAGCGAGAGAGGACATGAGGTGGTGGTTCTGGTTCCCAAGGTGAGCTGGCAGATGGAGACGACACAGGCCTACAAGGTGGTCACGTACCCAGTGAGGCAGACCCTGGGAGAGCTGGACAACGCCTTCCAGGAATATGTTGCTGTGCACCTGATGCAGAAGCCTTTCCCCTTCAATGCCCTGGCAATGTACAAGGCCTCGGTGCATGTTTTCAGCACCTTCTTTGGGCAGTGCAAGGACCTGTTCCGCAGCCAGGAGACCCTGCGGCTCCTCAACCAAAGCAGCTTTGATGCCATCCTGACAGATCCAGCCTTCATGTGTGGGGCCATCCTGGCTCATCATCTCTCTCTTCCCTTTGTGTTCTTCATGAGGGGATTTGGTTGCAACCTTCACTTTGCAGCCCCACAGTGCCCAAGCCCTCCATCCTACATCCCGAGACTTTTCAGCTTCAACTCGGACCACATGAATTTTTTCCAGAGGGTGGAAAATGCACTAATTTTACTCTTGGAGCTTGAGTACTGTAACAGTTTCTATGCAGAAGCGCTTAAGCTTTCGTCAGAAGTCCTTCAGAGGGATGTGTCCCTGATGGACCTCGTGAACTCTGCTGCTGTTTGGCTCCTGAGGTTTGACTTTGTGTTCGAGTACGTCAGACCAGTGATGCCCAACATGGTCTTTGTAGGGGGGATCAACTGTGCTAAGAAGAAACCACTACCTAAGGTAATGTACCTTTGCCCACAAATTGTACATTTCCCAAAGAAAAGTCATTGTATTGTTTCAGGAAGTTTATTGCTATTGATTTTTTTTTTTAATTTCTGGGAATAATTTAATTCATCCATATTTGGGTAGTTGTATTCCACAAGCTGAAGCCAAATAACCTTGATAGAGACTTATTTGAATTAATGAGGGTTTTATAACAAACCAAACAAAAAAGGGATTTTTATCTGCCAGATGGAAATTATTGATCTCAGTGAATGTCTCTTACCACCAACCAGATCCAGTTTTGATTTCCTTTTAATGGCATCTGAAATGTATTTATTTGATCTGATCAACAGCCCAAGAGTCATTTTTTGTTTTTAACTCCAGGCTCAACAGCATCAATTTATTCACTTTAGTTGTATTTTCATGTTATTATTTCCATACTGGCTGCCTTTGTTAACTTACTCCTGTT